GGAAATACATCGGCTTCTATCTTCTCGAAACGTAACACGGTTTCATCCACGGTTTAATCCAATTCATCTTGCGTTGCATCTTCTACGCGATAAACTTTACCACGTATCGTGGTGGTTACGAGTCATAAGCTAAAATCATAAATAAAGGGGGGGACGTAGCGAGGGAAACAATTTTTTCGAAAAATTTTTTTCCTTTTTCTTTTTTTTTTTTTTACACGTATTTTGCGGTTAAGGGGGGTTCGGCCATTTATTTATCGCGTAATTACACGCGAATAAAAGAAAAAGAGGAGGAAAATAGCGGGGCATCGAGCGATATTTTCCAATCTGATGGCTAATAATGTCGATGCGGTTCCGCAGAGGGGCCATTCGAGCGAGGGATATTGATGGTGAACCGGCAGCAGTTAAGTTACAGGTTCGTATTCGAGGTTTGTCGTCCCCACGGTTAAAAGCACGTCCAACGTTCGTCCAACTGTTTTATCAACAGTCATTTTTTTCGCGATCGATGAACGCCGCCGCGAGAGAAAACGCCGATTTTTCACCGCTGTATTACCAACGCGCCTCGATTCGTTGAAAATTTCATCACCATCTACAAAACGCGTATCACATTTTTCCACCGAATACCGTTTCCACGGATATTTCCCATTCCAGTTTTCTCAATTTATTTCTTTCCAAATTATCCCGTTGAATTTGAGTTGAGGTTCGTTAAAGAAAAGAAGAAGAAGCGACCAGTATTTTCCGTTCAACAACGAGCACAATATATACGATATAAATTTTTATTCTTTGGCACGGAAGTGTGTCAAGCGTCAGCAGGCACTATTCGGATATTGTTATTACGATCGTGCACCGGTTACCGGAGAAATAAAAATCTACTTTACGTCGCTACGCATAAATTCGTTTCAAGAACTGATTTTTCAAAATCTGGGACGGTACGAAAAAGTTTGCTCCTGTTCGAAACGGGACTACCCTTCTACCCACCGTATAAAACTCGTGATAACTTTTCTCCGCGTAATATCCTCGACAAAATATTCCGATCCACTTTACCAAATGCAACGTATCGATCACTCGAGCAAATTCAAACTCCTCCCCAACTCAAAATGCACAGGAAGTGTACACTGTGTGGACGCACGCGGACAAAGGGAGACAATATCGTCCGCTCCGGAGATTCCAGCTCCCTCCCCCCCCCCCTCTCCCCATTATGGATCTATTGTTGGTCGTAACCGTTGCTTCCCAGCCCACGTTCTTCCTTAACGAACAATACCGTCCCAAAATATAGACAGATTTCGAAACGATGCGATCGAGAGATGCGCAAAACTTGTTGTTGTTGCACGCGGCCACGATTTATTATTTAACGCTAAACCTACCGACATTTCATGTATACCTATTCCTACGATGAGCGGTCAAATGCAAAAAAACATTTGTATCTTAATATAGAAAGAGATTTTTAGCTAATTGGATTCGTAAAGTAAACGATACAGAAAGTTGTGAATATCGAAAAATGGGTTGTATCTACGTTATAGAAAAAGTGAATAAGTCATATGGCGATACGGTAACTTTGTTTACAAGAAATTCTAAACGAAATTTCAAAAACGGTCATTTGACCGCGCCGTGGTAAGTTTAGTGTTAATATACGAATTCTCGATTAACGAGGGGAAAATCGGGGGTGGGGAAAGAAAAAGTAAGGAGAAAAAATTCGATAAATCAACGGGAAAGCGTGGACGGCGGCACAGATGCGTTGGATAAACAAGCGAATATTAAAATTTCACGCGGTTGGAAGAACGGGGGGGGGGAGGGGGAGGAAGAGGAAAGTCGAGCGAGAAGATCTCTCTTATGGCGCACACACGGTTCCAATAAAAACCGCGTGCGTAATATGAAAGCGAGGAGAGAAGGAGAGAGAGAGAGAGAGAGAGAGAGCAGGAGGAAGAATAAAACGGAGAAGAAGAAAACCGCCGACAGACGCAAATATTGTCCCCGGTTCAGCGAGAAAACAACAACGACACCCGACACCGGCCGGTAAAAAGCGTCGTGTGCGCGTATCAAGAACAACGGCTCTCTACCTCCACGCCATTATCGTGGAATTGTAGGTTGGATAAACGGCGGACAGGTGAAAAGGAAAAAGGAATATCTCTCGTGTGCTGCGCGTTTCGTGTGCAACAACAAATCTTTTCGCGATTTATGTCGTTCGAAAGGGAGGGAATATTTTTATTGCAAGATAAAATTCGTCGAATTTCATAAGGGATCGACTCGAGCGAGCCGAATCGATCGACTCTCTCCTCCTCCCGTCGAGTCGAGTAACAACGTAAACAAAACTTTGTCACGGAACATTTCCCTCGAATAAACTCATTCCTTCCCTCCCAACATCGTTTATTATTCTCGCTCTCCTTTATAGGGAAGGAAGAGGCGTGTATCTCTAGAAGCTTGTTTAGAATCGAGCTTCTACCGCGTACCGGTCAACAAAACTTCTTTGCTTGATTCATGGTGGGCGGAAGTCTCGTTAACTCGAAGTGTTACCACGCGAGAGGGGAAAGCGGTGCGTGGGGAAACGAGGAGAGGGGATGGCAGGGAAGGAAGAAAAGAAGGGGAAAGATCGAGAGGCGGGGAGTACGCTGCGCGATTAACATCGATGGTGATTCGCCACGAGTTCGTGCACGAGTGGAGGAGTCCGTGCTTGGTGCGAAAATGCAAAATTCAATATCCAAAGCGGTAGAGAGAGTTTCCAGTTTGGATGAACGTTGATGCGACGCGAGGACCATCTATCTTATCTTTATTCGATCGTTTTACGTTCCAAGTATCGTCTCGTTATCGAAACACGAATAATTTAAAAATGTTGCGAGATGAAGGAATATTTATTCTTTTTTTTTCTTCCTCGAAATAAACACTACAACGTTTCGAGAGAGAAAATGCGGATAGTAACTGGAGAGAAAGTTTTCGAGACGAGAAATGAGATTATATTTACAACAATGCGAACGCAGCGTGCGAACAAAGCTTTAGGATATATAGATGGAGGAGGTAGTAGGAAGGGAGGGGCAAAACGGCATGTCAGCTTCTGACCATTGTTAACGTAGGAGCCACAGCTATAAACCCGCAGAATAGAGCACAAATTTAAGCACGATTCAACGTTTAATCTCGGGACAACGATTTGCCGGATCGGTTGTATGCCGCATGTGGATAATTCAGGATAGATAGAACCGTGGGAAATTAGCTTGAACGCGATGGTTCATCAGATTTACATAGTATTCACCGTGAGCAAAATTGCATGTTATCGTTTCGTCAATTTATTCATTGATTCCGCCTGCAATCAATCGTACTTCACCGAAGATACGATCTTTCCATCGTATTAAGTGAAATTATCCGCGATATTATTCCCTTCCCCCGCGCTAACCGATCAAATTCCAAATCGTTCTTTTCTTTTTCTTTTTCCATCCAAACTTATTAAATCTCGAATTGTCGACACAGAAATCTACCCGATAAGAAGTTGGGTAGAATTAGCACGATAAAACCAAGGTAAAAAGAAAAGAGAAGCTTGATAAATGTCCCCCTTTCCATTGTATTTAGAGAGGAGAGAAGAAATTCTTTCTGGTGGAAAGGTAAATCACTAAGGGATACGCGTCGTGGAGGCAACGTCGGTATCCGAGCAAATGTTTTGCAACGCGTAAATCACTCTCGATCGACAATTCATTTCTTAAACGGGTGGACAGGTTCCAACGGATAATCCGACGTGATGGATCCCCCCGATTCCGTGCATGCACAAGATCACCAAAGTTTACCCTTCGTCCGATCGATCGATAATTCATACACCTTCCTTGCGTGTACACCCCATTTTTCCTCTCCACGTGTTCGATCCAACGCTTATACGCTCCTCTTTTTTCCGACCTACGCTATCCAAGAAAGAGAAAGGAAAAGAAAGAAGGAGCGTCTCTTTTCTTCGTTCGCTCTCTCGTTTACCACTCTCGATCGGCTAAACTCGCTTCCCAGTTTTGCATACTAAGATTCTCGCTTCTTCTTGTTCCGGAATTCCTGAAACGTTTCTCGAGCATCGTTAAAGCGTCGTGAAACGTCTTTAAAAAAGGATTCCTTCCCCGAGGGAGGGGATGAACAAACCAGGTTTCTTTTTTACTTCCTCGACTGGATTTCGCGGGAATAATTTTAGGAATTCGAGGCAGAGCCGATTCCTCCCGAGTATCAAACGAGGGACAAATCGGGGAAAAACGGAGGCGTCAACTTTGCCAGAATGTAGGCTACCGTGAATTATAAACGCTATTCATACTCGACACCGCTTTTACGCCGCGCACCGCTTCCAGGTTTCATCGATGTAGTTTCCGACTAGACTCCAGCTTCTCTCCTTTCTTTTGCTCGACGAGGTCGGTCCAAGGAAAACTCGAGTTTGACAAGCTTTTAATTAAATCGGTTCGCGATCGAATCGTCGTCAGAAATAATTCTCGATTAATAAAATCGAGAAAAAATAAATAAAGATTTATTAATTCCTTCGACCGAGCCATGTTCCAGCTAAACGCGCATCGAGGTTTGCCGTAACACGCGTATATGACGCGTATCGACGGCTGGCCGAACGTGGCCAGCCAAAGTGAACTCGCTCCGAGAAAATTAGAATGGAGTTCTAAGAACGTTCCCCTCGTAGAAACTAATTAAAATTTTTTCATAAGTGTTCACCCCCCCCCTCCCCCCGTGAACTCATCCTCCCGCTGGAAAATGAAACTTTCGAAATTGTTCAACTTTCCGTTCAATTTCGCGGTCGAAAGTAAAAAAGAATGGGAAGAAGAATTTCAGATCGATGGTGTTATTTGTCAACCTCGTCGGATGGAAATTTATAATTGGCATTAAATATTCAATAATTATCGTTATTTCCCTACTTCTCAGACGTAATTTTATAACGAAATTGTGCGTTCGTTTCGATCGTGGAGGAAAAAAAAAAAAAGAAATATCGTCCATTAATCTCGTTACGGCACATCGTTATAATAAATTCGTTATTTTAAAACGTATTCCACGTTTTTTCCCCCTACGTACGTTTTAACTCGACCTTGTTCCAAGAAAAATTCGCACGATGGAACCGTTTCGCATATTTGCGTATATCATGTTCGCAATTTACTCTCTTCTCAGCTCAAAATAAAACATTGTGTTGTTAATTTTAATAAAAAAAAAAAGAAAGAAAGAAATAGGCTGGCGCGACGAAATTGGTCAAAATACTCGCTTTGCAAGATATTTGTAATAATTTCTAATCACGATTTATTGTAATTACGATCTCGTCGTTCATAAAGATCGTTGCCAACACGGTCGAAACAGACTCATGGGGTGAAAAATTAAGGGAATCGTTCGTCGTCGACCGTCCAACGAAACAAGGACCATACATCTGAACATTCCAGACAAAGACAATAATAACGTTTCGAGCAATTTGCGAAATAACGAAGGAATTTCCATCCGTTTCGCTAGATTTAATTTAACGGTCATTGTATAATACACGCCGCGTTATCTCGAGAGATCCCGAATGTGAACCGCGTTTTGTACTCTTGAAAGTCATTAAGCGGTGAGGAAGCGAAACGGCTCATAAAATGCAGGAAGAAGCGCGTAAAATTTGACAAATTCTCCCCGGCGATCGGATTCTTAACGATAATGGTGGCTAACGATAATAAACGGACTGTAAAAGATATAACCGAGAATTAATTTCGTCCATTGTTCCCTCCGTCATGGAGAGGTAATTGTCGAATAATCCTTCGCGAGGATAAGATGTATAAAGATATCGAATGAGCGAGTAATTCGAGGATCAATCGATCCGGGCACAATCATGGATTGATCGATAACTATAAATACGAGGACGTTGAATCGCGTTTGACCAACTATTCCAAAGGGATCGAATGTAATATCGAATGACACGCGTTACCGCTATGAAATTGTTTAATATTCTGCCAGTAAATGATTAATTTGTATGCCGCAGTAGGGGAAACTAGCCGTTTCATCCGACCAATAACTATCAAATTTTCTATTACTCTTCAGGGCATCGTATCGGATACTGGAATCTGTATACATGTATATATCTTGCCCAATTCAAACATTTTACAGACTCTCGATATGATTTTTTTTTAAATCGAAACAATATAGGCAGGTAGCACACAACGCGATAACTAAAAAATTTCTCTTTCACTGCTGCTCTCTTTTATACCGTTTCCATTTGAAACGATAAAACCAATGGAAAGTTTTATAAGTTTATTTTAATTCTATCATCATTTCTTTTCTATCTATCCTAAATTTGATATTTCAATATTATTATCCTATTTCTGAAACAGAGGGGAAAAAAGAAGCGCGAAAATAATGTCATTACGCAAGATGGACAAATCGATCCCCCCGAATCGATTCCAAATTAATCCAAATTTTCTCTTCTGTCGAGATAATTCGAGTTATCGAAATTCACGTCGCACGAATCGAACGAATTCGTTCCTTCACGGATTGTTACACGCGAACGTTACGCCCGCGAGCCGTAAAGATAACGCGATATTCGATTTAATTAACGAGATGAAATAGAAAAAAAAAAAAAAAAAAGGAAAATCGCTATGCGTCGAATTTGAGCGGAGAACAATGGAAAACAAACGTACGTACGTACGTGAAAAGATGACGGATTAACCCTTTCGTTACGACCGACTTCTCCGTCGCACCAAAAATTCGCACGGCGCTTGACGATGTTTATTGGGGGAAAAAATGAAATATCGATGCTACACTTCCAGAGAAAAATACTTCGATCGCTCGTCATATCATACGATACACGACATACGATTTTATGCAGAGCGATTATAATCGGCTGTAATCTCAGTAACATCCTATGTACAGCGACTATAGTCGATATCAGTGGCAATAATAGTTGGCCGCAGTATCTCAGTGGCATTTTATGCAAAGTAATAATAGTCGCCCGTATCTTGGTGGTATCTTATCTAGAGCAATTATAGTAGTATCTCAGTGGCATCTTGTGCAAAGCGACTATAGTCGATCGTAGTATCATCTTATGCAGAGCAATAATAGTCAACCGTAGTATCTCAGTGTAGTATCTTATGCACAACGACTATAATCGGCATCACAATCTCAGTGGCATCTTATGTAGAGCAATTATAGCCGGCCGTAGTATCTCACTGGCATCTTATGCAGAGCAATTTTAGTCGGCCGTAGTGTCTCTTCATTTTATGCACAATGACTACAGTTGCCCGTACTATCTTAGTGGCATCTTATGCAAAATAAGAACAGTCGGCCGTAGTATCTCGGTGGTCTCTTATGCAGAGCAATTATATATATATTAGTATCTCAGTGGCATCTTGTGCAGAGCAATTATAGTCGGCTGTAGTGTCTCTTCA